TGTGTTTCTATCAAGTTTTAGTATAAATCTACTAGCATTCTAGCATGAATGCTGTTCTCTGATTGGCTACGCTACTCACTATCTATCACAGAATAGATAGTGAGTGGCATAGCTGTGTACCCTTGTTAACAAAATGAGGTCCCCTTCTTGGCGTTTTCAAAGTGTCTGTGGAGAGTCTTATGAAAAAGTTTTGAATGACTAGTAGATTTAAACTAAAACAATTAGATTATTCGCTCTCGATTTTTATACGTGATAGAAATCTCGAGCTCATAACCTAATTGTTTAATAGAAACACGATTTTTAACCAGTCAGCGAGTGTACTCTCTTTGGGCTATTTTCTGCATTTATTTATTTCAGTGTTGCTGTTGTTCGTCAAATGCCGTAGACAAATGGACTCAGATTGGGTATCTTGGGTGTGGATGTGAATTTTCTTCTGTGAAATCATCTGAAATTTTCTTTGTACACTGATTCCATGCCAGCCAGTTAACAAATATTAAGCATGATAAATGAAGAGATTGTATTAGCAAATTCTTAATTGCCATTTATTCATGTCTTTTTCCTTTTTGTTAACCTAAATAACAGATAGAATAAAAGACAAGAAAAGGAAAATAGTTGTAACCAGTCCGCTGCTACATTTTACTGAATTTAACCTCAATTTATTAGCTTTTTTGTGGTCTTGCTGACATTATAAAATATCAAAAAAATCCTCAGGTTGGGATTTTCTCTTGAGCATGCAAAGAACAGCGAAGCTTTCGTTTTTAACATGCACTTGGTTGTAAAACAATAGGGAACCAATGTAAATGGAGTAGGCAGCTTTTTATAAAGTTTCTTTGTGTAAATTAAATTACTTAGTTTGCCTTTTTTTTTATGAAAACAATTCATATTTTGTTTATGAAGAAGAAGCAGCAGCAGCAGCAGAGGCAGAGAGAGAGGCAGAAGTAAAGGCAGAGGCAGAAGAAGAAGGAGCAGGAGCAGGAGCAGGAGCAGGAGCAAGAGTAGGAGCAGGAGCAGGAGCAGGAGCAGGAGCAGGAGCAGGAGCAGGAGCAGGAGCAGGAGGAGGAGGAGGAGGAGCAAGGGAAGGAGGAGAAGGAGAAGGTGTGTCTTCAGTTTACTTAAAACTATCAATCAGGGCATTTTCATATGGCCACGTTTCAAAAATCAAGAGCCAAAATTAGGTTATATTTTTCGTGCTTAATACAAAGCTTACTAAGACCGAGTTTACTTAAAACAAGTTTGAAAAGCCAGTTTACATACAGTCAGAAAAATTATGTAATGCAACAGAGGTCATTGAAAGTAAGAAGTCACTTACTTAGGTCACTGGAAGTAAGAAGTCACTTACTTTTTTAAATTGTATTATTTTCAGACACATTTTTCTTATATTTTTACTGTAATCTTAATCTTACATTGTAAAGTGCTTTAGAATATTGTTTAATTTTAGCGCTATATAAATCTATTATTATTATTATTTTGTTAAGATTAATAGTATAACAGATAATCCTGTACAGACTAGCTATCATTGTCACTTATGTTTGACAAGTGACAAATAAAACTTATGTAGCTATATTGCAACTCCCAGAATAGAGGTTGATCATGAGACTTCAATGAATAATAATGATAATAATAAATTTACAATAATAATAATAATAATAGTAATAATAATAATAGTGATAACAATAACAATAACAAATTAACAATAACAATAACAATAACAATAATAATAGTAATAGTAATAGTAATATATTAAACTAATAGTAATAGTAATACGGTTGAACCTCCTGTAAGCGACCACCCAAAATGCCATGCCTAGGTGGTCGCTTATGAGCTCTAGCTTAGACCGTTTTGGGTCAAAAGTTTGCCTCATTAGCATATGGTAACTACAGAGACTTACCTCGTAGTTTAAATGTTTTATTCATGTAAAAAGTTAATTTTGGAACTCGTTTGTTTCTGCACTTGGCTTTGTTCCTTACCAGCAATATGCTTATGTTACAATGCCTTACTATCCAATTTCTGCTCTATTCTCTGTCAAGTGGTTGCTTATGGGAGGTTATTAAAGCAAAAGAAAATTTCAAACTTCTAGCTCTAAAAATGTGTGTGGTTGCTTACAAGAGGTTCCAAATATAGTGATTTGACTTGGAAACATTTGGTATTTTGGAAAACTGGTCGCTGAGGATCACATAACTCAAATACACTCTAGTTTTTAAACACACCTTCAAAAATGCTGCAAAGCTTTTGCAGTCCTCAGCCTGTCAACCATTCACTAATGAAAGCGCACATTTTTCCTTTAAACTTCTCTGTACCTGGAACCACCACATGCATTCCACTGGAAAGACTTCAAATTCCCCACTCCACCCAGGCGGGGTTCAAATTCTCCACCCTTGAGAAGGTCTTTTGTATCAAATTTCCTACTCCTCGGGGACAGACGACAGTCAAATGCTTGTGGATTGCCTGGAGGGATGTTGAAACTTCAAATTGATCAGCACATTGTCTTGACAATTTTTATCTGGTGGGGTGCGTGGTGTAAATATTGCAGTGTATATGACTTAGATGAAAGAGGAAAAAATATGCACTTGTACCCAAGTGCACAGAACCACTGAGAGTGAGCAACTATTATTGACTCAGGATGCACTATTTTGAAAATTCTTAGCTTTATGATGTAGCCAGGGCTCTTGCCCTTGGGAAAAGCAGCACCCAATTTTTGCTTGTCCCGGGCAAGTCCTAGTCTACATTTTTGTTAATTTAGTTGGCAGACAACTTGCCTGGGCCCTTGCCCAGTGTGCAAGTGAGAATGAAAAGTTACTTGCCCGTGCAAGAGAAAAATCTACTTGTCCCAGACAACTGGACGGCTCTTTTTTCGAGCCCTGCAGCCCTGAGTATTTTACAAGTTAACACTAGTTTCCATTGCAATACTCTTGAAAGGCCGGCAGAAATGTTAGTAGTTCAAGAGTCAGTGTAACAAAAAAACACAGAGGGAGTTTTGGTTTTAAGAGCACAAGAAAAAAGATATATTGCTGTACAGTTATAAAGCTCTATGAAAAGATCTATTTAAGAAATAGAAAACATACATGTTGTGGGAACACGAGCTGACAGGTGAGTGTTTCCTCAGCTTTTTCAAGCTCTCCCAAACTTTCACAAGTGTTTCTATAACTCAATGGAATTAACACGGAGAACATGTTTTCTATTTCTTTTAGAAAATACCCTGTCAAAAAAAGAAAACAACTTGTTTACTTTGATCATCAAAATGTAAATTCTCGTTGCTCACACCATCGATATCATTATGTCAACAGCTCATGTTAGTTCTGTGTTTCTATCAAGTTTTAGTATAAATCTACTAGCATTCTATCATGAATGCCGTTCTCTGATTGGCTACATTAATCACTATCTATTCTGTGATAGATAGTGAGTGGCTTAGCAGTGCACCCTTGATAACAAAATGAGGTCCCCTTCTTGGCGTTTTTGAAGTGTCTGTGGAGAGTCTTTAGATAAAGTTTTGAATGACTAGTAGATTTATTCTAAAACAGTTAGATTATACGTTCTCGATTTTTATGCGTGGTAGAAATCTTGAGCTCATAACCTAATTGTTTAATAGAAACACGATTTTTAACCAGTCAGCGAGTGTACTCTCTTTGGGCTATTTTCTGCATTTATTTATTTCAGTGTTGCTGTTGTTCATCAAATGCCGTAGACAAATGGACTCAGATTGGGTATCTTGGGCATGGATGTGAATTTTCTTCTGTGAAATCATCTGAAATTTTCTTTGTACACTGATTCCATGCCAGCCAGTTAACAAATATTAAGCATGATAAATGAAGAGATTGTATTAGCAGGTTCTTAATTGCCTTTTACTCATGTCTTTTTCCTTTTTGTTAACCTAAATAACAGATAGAATAAGTGACAAGAAAAGGAAAATTGTTGTAACCAGTCCGCTGCTACATTTTACTGAATTTAACCTCAATTTATTAGCTTTTTTGTGGTCTTGCTGACATTATAAAATATCAAAAAAATCCTCAGGTTGGGATTTTCCCTTGAGCATGCAAAGAACAGCGAAGCTTTCGTTCTTAACATGCACTTGGTTGTAAAACTATAGGGAGCCAATGTAAATGGAGTAGGCAGCTTTTTACAAAGTTTGTTTGTGTAAATTAAGTTACTTAGTTTGCGTTTTTTATGAAAACAATTCATATTTTGTTTATGAAGAAGAAGCAGCAGCAGAGGTAGAGGTAGAAGTAGAGGCAGAGGTAGAGGCAGAGGCAGCAGAAGAAGAAGAAGAAGAAGCAGAAGCAGGAGCAGGAGCAGGAGCAGGAGCAGGAGCAGAAGACGAAGATGAAGGAGAAGGAGAAGGAGAAGGAGAAGGAGAAGGAGAAGGAGAAGGAGAAGGAGAAGGAGAAGGAGAAGGAGAAGGAGAAGGAGAAGGAGAAGGAGAAGAAGAAGAAGAAGGAGGTGTGTCTTCAGTTTACTTTAGACTTTCAATCAGGACATTTTCATATGGCCGCATTTCAAAAATCAAAAGCCAAAATTAGATTATATTTTTCGTGCTTAATACAAGGCTTACTAAGACTGAGTTTACTTAAAACAAGTTTGAAAAGATTATTAAATTAAAAAATTATGTAATGCGAGAGAGGTCATTGGAAGTAAGAAGTCACTTACTTATGTCATTGGAAGTAAGTAGTCTCTTACTTTTGTAAATTAGCGTATAGCATGCCATAGTCCTATAATATGTTTTTTTAAACTATATTATTTTCAGACACATTTTTCTTATATTTTTACTGTAATCTGAATCTTTTGTGGAATTCTATGTTATAGGCAGCTAAAAACTTCCAGGGTTAAAAATTTGATTATAATAGCACTTTAACAGAGTTTTCCCTATAATAGAGAAGATAAATACAAAGATTATGGGTATGTTTTGAAGGGACATATAGTTTAGTGTCTCATTTACCTTTATATTTTCCATTAAACAGAAGAAGCTCTTGTCAGTTACGAGGATGCTTATGACTCAAATGGTTTGTAGACAAAAACATTTTTGGGGTTTACTGTAAACCTCAGAGGGTAATGACCCCCCCAAAAGTAGCAGCTCCTGAAAGTGATGTCAAAAAATTGTGGTGGCTATTAACTCCCACAAGTAGCAACATTGGAATGTAGCAAGCCCTCTGAAAGTAGCAAGCCCAACAAAATCCCCACCCCCCCCCCCAAACCCGAAAATAATGAGACCAACGTTCAGTGGTATATTTATTCTTCCAATCATTAGTCAGCTGAAAGTTACCATACAATTACTTGATTTCAGGCACTCTACAACAAAGGAAGGTATCGCCTATGCCATGAAGCGTTGTACATAAAATGTCAATTCATGCTTTGTCAGTTCATGTTGCGCTGTGTTAAAACAAAAACCGTAGAATTTCATCAAGTAACAGGAATGTACTAACAGGAACTTTTCTTTAAACTAAAATTGGCAACTCTGTATCATTTTCAGCAAGAGTGTATTACATGTAAAATGAATGTTTCTTCAAATTAAATTGAAAACTCAACCAACACACTGAGCTATTGTTAAAGCAGACTTAAACACAGCAGTGCATCAGGAAGTTGAAACAGTTAATGGTATCTGCCTGGCTTTCGTGCTGACCAGTGACAACACAGTCTAGTCATGAAGAGCCCACCCTTGTGGCAGCAACATAGCTTTACACTGAAATGAAGAATTTAATTTGATGTTTTAAAAATGGTATTTACAAATTTCCATCTTTAATTTTGGAAAAAAGAGCTCTAGTGTACCAACTTCATGTAACATTTTTTGCTCCCAGAAAGTAGCACCCCCCCCCCTGACGGTAACAACCACCCCCCCAAAACAAAACAAAAAGTAAAGAGCCCCAAAGGCTGCCAATTCGGAAAGCAAAGAGGTTCATTACTTTGGGAAGTTTACGGTAATTCATTAAACCATGACATGCATGTTCTATCCCTAGTTACCCCAAAATTAGAAAGATAGAGTAAAAAAGGCAAGGTATATATTGAATACTTACCAAAACCTTCAACACCATGGTTGCCACAAAAACATCAAACATTACTGTTTTGTGATTCATTATTGCAAAGAATTTCATGATCAACATATAACTTACATTTAATTGTAACACTGAACACATAATCAATCTGGATGTGTTCAGTACACCCCTCTGAGAAACTTTGTTTATGAACCTTCTGTCTTAAACTCAGTTGTTTTGATCATAAATGCAACACAACAAACCCAGTGTAACTATGTGACTCAGCTTGACACAGGTCACCAGTCATCATCAAAAGGCTGGTTGTCACTATAGCAACATAGTCATAGTCATAAGAGTTCTTTTTAATCAGTGAGAATAGCAAATCAGAGTTGTAAGGGGAGTTTTTAAGCTCGACAGAATCAGAGTAGGAAAATTTAGTTTGTGAAAAACTAGATTGTCAGAGCTAGAAGCAGAATTGGAAGAATCAATCAATCGCAGTGCCTGCAGGGATCTGCACCGGTGGAAGGAACACAACAATCAGACTTCCATAACAGCTTGATAGCAAGACTAGTGAAAACAAGCTAGAGGTTTTAAACTTCCTTGCAGATGAAAAGAATTCCAAGATTGATTATGCAGATTCCGAAGACCTGTGGGAATCAGAGGATGATCGAGAGAACGATTATGGGTTAGGTGAGATGATTTTCTATGCATGGAAGCATTTGATGTTTATTTATAATGGCGTGCTTCCACTAAATTGCTCTGGTCTTCTTGATCCCAATTCCCGGGGGGGAGGGTGGGGGGGTACTCCCTTATATGGGCTATATGGGTATGTGCGGCCCCAAAAGGGTATGGTTTTTCAGGTGTTTTGGTCATAAGTAGGGTATCGATTTTAGCTGATTTGGGCCATTTTGGTCATAAATAGGGTATGGTTTTTGGACTCTAGCCTTGATATGGGTATGTTTTTAAGAAGAAGCCACTTTTTCATCATTATTGAAAAGAAAATCAACAAAAGCCGCTCACAAATTATGTTTACGGTAATTTAACATTGGTCTGAACTGGGGAACTAATTATAACGCAGGTCTGAAACAGGGTTTTGATTTAAGGGTCAGGTCATAAATAGGGTTTTGAATTTTTGGTCAGGTCATAAATAGGGTAGGGAATATCGCAGATTTTGGTCTTAAATAGGGTGAGGGTTTTGGCCGCACACCCACACCCAATTTTTCTGGGAGTACCCCCTTCCCCTCCGGGACCAAATAATGGCTTTTCAGAGTGAGCGTAAGCACAGAAAAGGATGAAGATTGGGATGAGCACACTGTATCTAATGTGAATCAGTCCTTGTACTTAATTAGGGTTTTAAAATTATGTTTTAGTATTTTGCTATCTCCCAGCGAGTTTCATTTTAAATTCTCTCAGTTGCTGCATGCTTTTATACCTCTTTGGATGAGGTAGGGAGTAAAGACAACAGGAACAACGTACGATGGCAAGGAAATTATGTCTTGAGAGATTTTCCTCAAAATTTTGACCAGCATATATGTTACGTGTACCTTATTTACTCGAAAAAGCTTGCAAGCAGGCTATTTGCCTGGAAAGAAAGAAGCTGGCAGGCTTAGTGCAGAGTTACTAACTACATTCTTCCCTGTCAATGGACTTGCATGGGCTGCCAATCACAAACTTTTTTCGACCAAGTAAGATATCTTTAAAAATACTACATATATAAACAATAGCCTCCATTTGGTGCAAAAATATGCTCAGATATTTGTCTGCAGACGTTTTCTGTTTCCAGAGGCAAACAGTTTTCCAAGAGCAAAGCTCGAGAAAAACTGTGAGCTTTGAGGAACAAATAACGTTCATATTTTTAGAGTCAAATGGAGGCTATTGGGTATATTAACCTTCAAATGTATTTTGCAACATATTCCCCATTCATATTCAGTCATGTGATGCGTTTGGACCAATCGCGTGCAAGCAAAAATATTTGATGGATTATAAACATGTCTGTACGTGGGTCCACATATTTGGAAAATATTTTCGGTGGAGTTCGTTTTTGTAGGACCTGTGCAGGGTCTACTGCCACGTCCTTCGGTCAGTATTCTCCAGTACGACCCACACGCTCAGTCGGTAAGAGGCTTATATTAGCTGTTTTATTTTGTGCAAAGTTTTGAAACAACCAGCCTCTGGCTAATTCACGAACGGTCTGTATCGCAAAATTCTTACGGGGAGCAAGTGAGATTTCTAGTTTTTAACTTGTGGTTGCGTTAGCGAGTTACGTGTTATAGTGTGTGATCAGGCTATTCATCTTGGACAAGTTGCCATGCAATAATACTTAATACTTCCCAAACTTTGTTTGTTCATTTGCAAGTCGTGATGGCCAATGCGAAGTTGGATTTGATAATATGACTCGTGCTACATAGCGACAAAAGCCATTGTTAAATATCACTGGAACCCAAACTGTGACGTGGTTAGCGCAGGGAATACTGACGATACTTTTTGCCTTTGTAGTTGAATTTTGAGGTGATTCACAAGACGATCAAGGCAGACGTTGGCCCTGAAGCAGAGGCAACTGGTCGCTTATATGCAAGCAATTAAATTTGTAATTGTAATTGTATTGAGCTGAAAAACCCACTTAGGGAGCATCAATAAAGTTTGTATGTGTGTATGTATCTATGTTATGGAAAAATATTCTGTTTTGCTATTACATTACATGTTTAGAAGCTAACCGTACTGTTCACTTAAGTAAATTGAATGATTAATTGATTGATTTGCCGACTGTTTTGGTATGAATATCAGAAATACCGGCTCTTCCGTAACAAAGGAGGTGAATTCCGGGGGGACTCCCATATGAAAAAGACGGGGGTGGTCGTCGGAAATTTTGAAAAGAGCCCCTGAGAGGTACCAAGATCCTGTTTTGTGGGCGTGGCTTGAAGAAATTTTTCTCCCCTAAGAGGCACCAATTCTTACCTGACACATCTCCTGTCATATTTTTTTTGGCTCAATACCCTAAAAGGTAACGCAAAAGCTCTCGCTGAGGACCTTTTGAGGCTAAATACCCTGAGTAGGGCCCCTGGGTAGCTAAATACCCCCCCTGAGGTTACAAACCGCGTTTTTAACCCCTAAAAAGTATAATTCATGGTTGGACACATACATTCGCCTTCTCCTTCTTTCCTTAAATGCTAACCGCAAGCAAACAGTAAATAAATGCTAATCGCAAGCAAACAGCAGTAAATGAACAAGCCCGCCTCCCATTCTTCTCAGGGAGGAACGAAAACTGGACGCAAGAGAGCGGCAGAAATTGAGCCTAGTTTTTAGGCTGCCCAGCGGTATTAAACACACAGCACTGTAGTTATTTTGATCAGGGCTACTTGAATCAGCATAATCATTCATTCCTAGCGCTTCATGACGACGGGAGGTTTGCACAGTAGAATCCACGGAAACAGTAGATAAAATGTGGGTAGTAGAACAGGCTAGAATTTCATGAGCTCCTCTTATATTGAGTTCCTTTATTGGAAAAAAAGATTTTCATCCATTACAGAAACGGTTCCTTATTGTTAATAGATTACGCGCGGTCATTTTTTTCCTTGCGGTCTTTTTACGGTCTCGCTCTACGGACTAAGCGAAAGAAAGACTACTCGTAGTCTATATTGTTAAAAAAAAAAATGATTCGACTTAATACTTATTTTTACGAAAAAAAAAAAAACCAGCGAAACCTAAAATACTGTTAAACTAACGAAGTTTTATGCTACCCCTATAACGTTTACCGTTTTGTTGTCCACTACCATTTTATTATTCAACTGTACTCGGTGCTGAAATAACCTACAAAGTGAGTGCAAATATTTTTACTCCACAAAACCAGTTTAACAGGTTAGCTGTAGTTTTGACCTTCCTCTTCCCCACTACCTCGCCAAGATAATACTGCATGACTTGTGATAGTATACAGTGAAACTGCTCACATCCTAGATAATTATGATAAAATTATGATAATTTTGATGATTATGATGCCCACGAGACTCCCATTGGGTGAAACTCTTTGCAATACTGTTGTAATTCAATCAAAGCTCCGATGAAGGTGTGAGCCCATTCACTGTGCTGTGTATCCCTGTAACAAACAAAAGAATCAAAGAATAAAAATCATTATTACACGACTAAGTTAAAGAAAAAGAAGAAAAGAAAATAAAAAGAGGAAGAAAGGAAACTACCACCGTCTAGTTATAAATGACACAAGTTGGGATTATCTGAACTGGAATAACTTGCCCTTTGAAGTCCTTGAGAACCCGATTCGTGTAGAAAACAGAGCCATCTTTCCTGTCCCTCACGAAGATGTCAGGTTTCCCGGGCTGCAGAAGAAAAAATAATATTTATTATTTCACCTTCTCGAGTGCAGTATAGATATCGCAAAGGAAGCAAATATTGGTGACGATGGGACCGAATTACGAGCTGAGATGGTTCGACTCCATCAAGAGAGCCTTTGACTCCAGTGATCTAATCTTCACAAAAGTTTTCTTTTACCTTTTACAATTATGCACAAGCTAGACTTTGTTGGAGCCGATGACTTATAACTCATGTACACTATTTACCACATTTTTAATCGTGCCGATATGGAGTCGGCTTTCGTTCAGTGTGCCGGTCCACATGTTTACCTAACTCTGATCCTAGTGATTCTTTTCGTTGCTCCGCAATTTTTAACTACCTGAACACCTTTAACAGTCCACTCGCCCTAGAAATTCGATCATCTGTCTGTAACCAGAAGTTTAGGTGAAAGAAAATCGTTGAACAAAACTGAAGGAGAGAACAAAACTTACCGCCCCGACCCATAAAAGTGCCTCCATGCCTTCACTGACTGCGGACAAATGATTAAACTGTTTGCTTGCACGGTTATGGTCACGGAAAGCCTACAATAAGAAATAGTGCTCATCAGATGAAGCACTCTATTTGTCCTCGTTCGACATAACTACGATATAAAAGGGGCCTGACTTAGCTGTTCCCAAGTCTGGTAGTCAAACAACCATCAAAGCGTATACGGGCTGTTCAAAGCCCGATTAAGCTAACACAGGATCAGCGAGAATTTTGTTTTCAGTTTTGCAGCTTTTCGGTGAGGTTTTTTGTTTTTATTGTCTTCTCTTCTGTTTTGAGTTTGAATAATCTCAAAGTGCAAAAAAAAAATAAATAAATAAAAAAAAACAAAATAAAAAAATTAGCAAGTAAGCAGTGATAAAAATTTTTATACAAGAAAAATTGATACTTGTTTAACTTTTAATCCTGGATTAGCGTTACTTCGCCTTTCAATAACATGCGGACTCTAAAATTCAAAGCTCAACCGACAAATGCGTTTTTCTCTACCGTCAATCAAATGTTCGGTGGCTCCTCCCAGCTTCCGACTACTGCCGAGCACTGTTTCGTTGTCTGAACTGTGCTCAACGATTTAGTCGGAAGCTGGGAGGAAGGGAAGTGCTTCATTTTTGTCAAAAATATTCCGTTAAAACCTAAAGCTCTATCTTAGATTTATCAATGGCATTTGGAAGTATGTTCTGTTTATAAACAATTATTAGATGAAGTTTTTGTGATGTCCAGAATAATCAAGGTCGAACTAAGGGTTATCAGCTGAAGCCGGAGGCTGAGGCTGATAGCCCTTCCCGGACTTTGATTATTCTGGATATGACAAAAACCTCATCCAATGATTGTTTTATTACACATTGAACGAAAACAAGACATGGAAGTCATGTTTTTGCTTCTTCACTGACGGCAAGCAACACAAAACGCGCGAACTTGACATGATTACTCTTAGAAATCATGTAAATGACATGATTACCCGTGACCTTGAGTGTCCTTGACATGATTATTGTATAATCAGCAGCTAGATGACTCACAGGCCCCGATTTCGAAAATTCACTGTGCGCTTTTGGCCAATCAGAAAAGAGATAGTGAGTTCAATGTATAAAAACAGAACCGAGTTTGACTCCGCAGCGCTCCGGGACTACATTAGTACAACTCAATTTTCATTTCGTGCCCGAAAGAAATGAGGACGATTCAGCTAATTTAATAGCAAAACTACTTCTTTAAACCACTTCAATGTCACCCTTAGAGTCTTCTGCTCGTTAATGATCAGCGGTTGGTCGCTGGCATCAAGTTTTCACAGACCTTGACCGAGCGTGAAGGCGTCTGGGTACGAGAACTGATAAAAAGTGGAAGATTTAAACTACCCCATCTGGCCAACAGACAGTTACAAGTAATAAACGCTTACTACCTCTATTTCTTCTCTCAGCTGAGCAATGGGTTGTATCATTGATACTAGCTCATTCTGGAAAAAAAGGAACAAGTTGTAAACTTAGTTGAACAAAAAACTATATTTGTATATCTGCATGTAGGCTTTGAATTCATCTTATAGAAAATATTGTCTCTTAAAGAAAAAAAACAGCCAACGCGTTATTACATTATTTTTTTTTTTGCTGGTGATAATTTCAATTTAATTCACTTCAACTCTAAAATTTCTCTTTTTTTGACACCGCCGAGTAGGGTCGTCACGCAACGCCCCACCTACTAGTCCCCACATAAACGTATGTAGGTAGCGTTACGCTCCTTAGCCTGCAGAACAGGCAGATTGACGAGGCAGAGAACGAAACATGAGACACGAGCGCGGAGCGCGACCCCGAGCACGAAGCGCGAGACGAAAGAAAATGGATTTCTTTCGTCTCGCGCTTCGCGCTCGTGCTCGCGCTCTTTGCTCGTGTATCGCGTTTCGCTCTATGCCCCGCTAATTTGCCTGTTCTGCAGACTATACGGTCCTACGTAGAAGCCCTTTGGACTTTCCTCCCCCACGAACGGCTACGTTACATGAAGACACTAAAACGACGGCTGCGCGCGAAAGAAACCGAGGATCAGGACCTCATTTGTTCATTTCCAGTTCTTTCTTTTTTCTTGCTCCGGCTTTCACATACGCTCGCCTCCTTTGCATCACATCGTGACGTTGTTTAATACGATGTTATCGTGACCAGAAAAACTGGCCAATCACAAACTGGAAGAAAACATTACCATACTATTGACACCCTAATTTAAATACCTCGCATGTCTGCTGGCTAATGATTTTTACTCTGACTTATCATAAAATTCTCTTACTTTAGACGGTAATTTTGTATTTGAAGCTTTCACGAGAAATACTCTCAGTGCTTGAAAGGCTTTCTTTACCAAATCAGCCTGAAAGTGAAATAAACAGCGAAGTAAGTGAAATAAACATCATGAAAATATTCTAGACAGTTCAAGTCACGCAAGTTAAATCTTCATACCTGGGTTTTCACATCGCCTCCCAATTCATCCGATAACTTGAAAAAGGATTGGAGCTTTCCTTTCAGAAACTACAAGACATTGTTAAAAAAATGAGAGAAATTTAATTTTTAATTATAATTTATCCGTGAAGTTGGTTATTATAAACAGACGCTGAACGCACAACTCGTCGGAAGCACTTCTCACCTCGTCATAGTATTCAACGATCTTCCCTGATCCTGTGCGAAGAAGCAATTAAAAATTGTTATAATACGCTTCCTCTTCTTGGTTATATTTTTTTGTTTTCGAATAAAATTAAAGAAACCTCCGAAGACAAAAAATATCTATACCTTCACCGCCTGAAGCAGATTGTTGTTCGAGTTTGTCCGCGGCAGCTTCTAGGCGCTCGACCAAGGCCTTGATATCTGACGCGCTTTGGGAGCTACCCTTCTTGAAAGATCCCTCGACGCCCAGTTTAGCCGCTACGACTTCCAAACGAGCCAACACGGCTTCCAGTCGGCCTAGAGTTGCTTGATTAGCTGGCATTTTGAGCTGCAGTTGAAAACAGGTGATAAATGAAAGAAGTCACGGTAGGGACAACTGTCTTGTTGGATTCTAGCCAATAAGAGCTTGCGCGCGAAGACCGCGATATAAAACTCCTTGTCTCGATAAGACTTACTTGGATTTCACATGTCGATACAAACATCCGTTCAGGTTTGTCTTTACACCTCGTGTCCATGATCATTCAGATAGCTCAACCTTGATAAATAATTTAGCTGAAACACTCCGCCTGGTTCAAATTGGTTTTATACGGTCATATGAAAAGTGTGAAGAGATGAATATGAACGGGTGGCGAAATTTCTTGTCAATCCCCTGCAGAATCTTTGCAATAGATGGGTTTCAGAAACGAGCTAATGTAGTCTTGAGCAAACAAATGAAAATTAGAAGAAAAGAATAAAAAAGAAGTTAAACATGAAATTTGATACCTCGTTATAGTGTAAACTGATTGCACACTACAGCCAAAAACTAAATATTGGCCTATGTTTTTAACTGACGCATATTTTAAATTTAATCCTTTTTAAAGTACTTCAATCCGTGGACCGAGGTACGTGCAGTATAACATCTTCAATATGTTTTTTTTTTTTGAAACACTGGAACCAACAGTGCGAAGTCTAATCGGAAGCCTGGTACCGAATCCCCACCAGCACTCGTATCGCAATGACAGATGGGAGACCCCTGACGTCACGCTTCTTCTTCCTCTTTGTGTGCTAAAAGACGAGTCATCACAATGGTGAGAACGCTGAATTACAACTGAAGAAAATCACGGCTTTCTTCACGATAAATCTATAAATTTAAGGCATTTTCTTAATGTATTTCTCTTGTTCAACTACAGGTTCAATCAGCTTCTTCCACGAGCGTCGGAGGCGGTAGATCGGGCTCAAAATCTGTTACCCCTCGTTCGTCTGGCGGTTCACAAGTGAAGCAAAGGTAAAGAGTGTTCTCTTCGTAAATCTTCACACATCTAGTTCTTGTACGTAGAAAGTGAAGGATCAACCTCGTTTGTTTGTTCTTTATTCTTCTATTATTTGGCTTTTGTTTCATTTTTCGAGTTTGTTGACTTCATATTTGCGTGATTCTTCGAGCTATGTTTTAAGCTTTGTGTCAGAGTTGAAAAAAAAGAGGCAATGTTTGTACCGGTCCAAATTGGGAAATTTATTTTCGAGCAAAACCATAGCTGGTGCTGATTTTGTCACTCCAGAAGAGAGATAATTTTAAACCTTGCTGTATATTGGAAGTGAACCATTTCCAAGGTGTTTTTCAGTTCAACTTTTTCAGTTCAATGTTTACACAGGATCTGGGCAACTGTAATGAACTTTATTACAGTATTAACTGAAGAATTGACTGCCTTTAATTGACATTGTTGTGGTCGTCATTAGGGTATTTATTCATTACAGTTGATGACAATTTCTTTTAACCCACCAAAAAAACTTGATTGAAAATAACTTGTAGGAATTTTGAAATAAAAGATTCAATCAATAGTATAATTAACTAGACTGAACTCCAGGCATTTTTAAAGAAATAAATTTCGATTGTCACAGACAAAGAGCCTCATGTTATTCATACTTGCAAGTTCTTAATATCATATCGCAAACATGCAAGACTGAGTGAGCGAGGATTCTTGTATATCTATTCAACCAGTGAAGTAACAGTTTATCATTTCTGGGGAAATGATACAATAGTCCTTTGTTGATTGTATAGATTTTATTCAAATCATGATCACTTTGATATCCACTCTTAACATGTAATAAATACTGATTATTATATGACAAGATCTTGATACTGCTCTTTGTCATGCGCTTTTAATGCCATGTTGCAAGCAAGCCAAGCCTTCAATGTAATGAGCAAATGGTATTAGAAGAGCAAACAAAATGTATAGGCTTTCAACATGCCATTATTTGTTTATTGCACATTTACTGCATAGTAAAGAACAACTAGGTTTTATTTCTTTGTGTAGACTGATGTTCTCTCATGCAAACATTTGTTGTAATCTTTCATTGTCATCTGGGGGTCATTGGTAAATCTTCAGAATCTTTGGTGAAGCTTTGCCAATCTTTGGAATTTAGCTCACATGATCTTAGTTATCTTGGGTTTTGGAAGACTTAAGTAAAGCTGTGGCACATTTTAGTGATCTATTACCTAGTGTGCTAGACTTCAGATACTGGACTCATTATTGTCTAACTGTCTCTCTTCTCGGAGGAGTAAAACTGTTAGGGAAATCTGACCAATTACTGAGGGATATTTGCAAGTGAACTAGCCTCCCTTGTAAAGGAGTCACAAAACTCCTACTTCGTGAGCGAGCTACAGAAACCAGCTTTAGCTCTGGTGCTGGTGGTCAATAGATGTTTTTAGTCTGGGTGATTTGTTTTGAATTACAGACCATGTGATATTCTCTAGAAAATTGCTCTGTTATTCATCTAAATATTATTTATTCATATACACGCTACTATTTGAACATTTTAAAGCGAGAATTCTCAAGAGTATCATCACATGATCTGAAATGGGGCAACAAACTGCCCAAGCTAAAAGGGTCTATTTGTGCTAAGCACAGGCATAACCTTTTTATCTGCCCACACCTACACCTGTATATCTCTCCAAGCCATAAGGCACATAAGGTTTTGATGTTCTCTTCGCATCCACTTTGGTTCGTCTTTAAGCATTCTCCATTGTAGCCCTTTACAAAGGACAGAAATGTGTGGAGATGCCACTTTATGCTTAGTTGTAATTTGTGATCAACATCTAATAATGTATTCTCGTTTCAATACAATGCATTTTAAAACAAACAGGTAATGAGAATACTGTAATTAGTCAGCAGTGGATAACTGTCTTGATGTACCAATGAACTGTCAAAACTAACATTAAAATGAATTTATACCAATTGGTAATGAGAATTCCTTTGTTGATCAACAGGAAAGGTGGCAGCACTACACCAGCAGCAAGATCTCGCACAGCAGCCAGTAGCAGTGGAATGTGGAGATTTTACACTGAAGATTCACCAGGACTCAAAGTGTAAGTTAATCCTCCTTATGGCATAACAACGTTTTCTTAGGGTGGTCTTACTTGAGGGGTTTTCAATTGCATATTATAAAACCAAAACTAAAGCGGTCACTCTGGCCAATCATAAAGGACCCAAACAATCCAGGTAGGTAGGTAGGTAAAACTTTATTTATGCAGGGTGGCCCATTCAGCACAGTGGCTGGTATCCAGAGGGGCCCTGCTAAATACAATTTCTAAAAATA